GGGGCATCGTCGATGACTTGAAAGTAGCATTCGTGTGATATGTAAGTGTCTACAAGTGACCAAGTAGCTTTTACCGTCTCCCCGGATATAAAACTTTGCCCGTTGAAATTAAGGTGCTTGATCGGTTTTCCCCTTTCTACCCGAAACTTTAGACGGTCGACAATTCTAGTGTTGATCCAATTTGGATCTGTTCCAGTATCGCATCTAGCTCTAAGGACAGTTAAGTGAAAGTCTTTTGGTGAAAACATCGAGATCTCAACAGATTTAGGAATCTGTGAAATGATTAGCTTTATTGTCGGAGTGCCAAAGAGAAATTTTTGCCAGCATATTGCCTAGCACCATATACGTTCCAACATTTTTAACTGATTTTGCACACATTTTGATCAGAAATGGGAGAGAGTTACCGGTGTTGTAGAGGGGGTGTTATTGGATACACCTTGTGTTGGTATGTTTTGATTCTGCTGAACATTGAAGAACCCAGGCGGTGCCGAGTGTGCGGTCGGCAATTGATTATTTGTGAAGTTGTTGGGAGTAGAGAAACCCATTTCGGAGTTATATGTGGTAGAATTCTGAGTCATATAAGAACCGTATCTTGGGTTTGCAGAAGGTTGAGTCCATCTGTGAGGCAGGGTTTGTCCCTGAACTGTAAAGGGAGCATTGTTTGTTGAGCCTTCCGGTAGATATGCATTCGGGGCTTGATTGGCATATGGATAACTTTGTGCTCTTGGACTTTGATAGCTTTGGGAGTTAGGAATGTGATTATAAGGATTCGGTTGTAGGTTCATTTCTTGTTCCGAAGGATGGTCTTCGTCTTCTTCTTCTTGAAACCGCTTATGGTCTTCGTCTATAGGAATGTTAAAACAGTGAAAAGCTATTTGAGATCCTCGCTTTTTGTCGAAAGCAAGTTTCTCTAACCAGCGTTGTTTCTCGGGTGCAATATTCTGTCGAGACATTTTACCAGGCTGGAAGATGCTACCAAACTAAGTCGTGAATGTTGTTCCCAGGATCAAAAAGAAAGATCACATCAAAGTGCGGGCGGAGGCTGGTCTTAATATAGGCTCCCCTGGGAATCTACTGGGAATTATTAGCAGTAGTCAGGCCTGGATACAAGAACGCATAGCGAGGCTGCGGATACTGTTTTGAACCCTCATTGGTATACACGAAAACCTCAGTATGCATTAACGGGATTCCTATGCATCTTCCCTTTATTACTTATGTAGTCGAAATTCATTGTCTAACTATACATGTGGGCTACGTGGTAAAATTGTCAATAGGCAAGAAAGGATTGTACAGCTGACTCTGAGTTGATACCACAATCATTGTTGGCCTTTTCTTTTGGCAATTTTCTACTTGGAAATGAAACACACTGTAAGTATGTTGCGCATAGTTTTCTACATACGCAGACGAGGGTGCGAAAAGAACAAATCTTCCCCTCAATTTCTCGTTTTTCGGATTGATGTTGGGCATTTTGATAAACCATATTGTCGACAGCAGGAGAGAGTGCTTGTACTCAGTGCGTCTCAAAATTTAGTTACCTACCGTATCTCAAGTTTTCAGTACCTTAAACACCCTCGCACGTTCTCGTTTTCCCGGTGCTACAACCGCGATAACACCATCCATCCAATGTAGCACATACCCATCGATTTCCTTTACACTGCATTGGGCTTTGAGGACTTCGAGCACACAGGAACACAATACTTGGCAGAACTCAAGCCATTTTCTGTTTCTAGGGGGCCAGGTATATCAATTAGACTCAGATAATATGCCTTGAGTTTAGTTTGCCGATCTTGGAAATTTTAGAACTAATTGATTCTATACAGCCCCAGTTTAATTGCGTCTAGAATCCAATGGTTTAAAAGGTTGTTAGGCATTCGAGATACCCAGTAGTGGTTCGCGGGCCATCACCATACAAAAGCATAAAGTGCGGGAGAGGGCAGTGGTTGCACTTCCAGGATTGCAGCTTAGAACGCAATGAAGCATGCATAAGGCCCAGCAGCCGGATATCACATTTCTTGAGAGCTATCAATTCAAATTCAGAAATTATCGTATTCGGTGGATGTTCTTTCTCAATGGTGGCATTGCCATACGCACAACATACACGAACAAGTCATGGTGAGGCTCCGAGTCTTATTATCATAAAATACCTAATCAAAGACACCCAGTCGGCGATTTTTGCGTGTTGTTGTGTAACCTCCCCACTCATTGATGCAGGAGACAATGTGCGGGAAATTTTAGGCTTTAATAAGAGGCTTCTTGAAGCCTTTATCCGAGAAGTTCTAAACTTTTCAGGTTAATACTCGATATCTGATGTTTCATTGTTAATCTTTTACTCCATAATGTCGAACGAAGGATATGCTAAATTGGCTCAGACAATGGCCCGCCACGATGAACTCGGAATCTTTCGACGGTTCCGAAAGCTGGGCTTACAAAATTTGCTTTATCTGCAAGCAGAATTGACATACCTCGAGAAAGATCTCGAAAACCTGGCCCAGAGAGATACATGTCATCAGAGTCGGGTTGAGCACTCAAAGGATTGGTACTCTTTAGCTCAGGGATATGATCAGGCCGAGGATAATGTTGAGGGCAAAGTACAAGATGGGGTACAGACAAATAGGGCCAAGGACTATAACGGCAAGCAAGATATAAATGGAAGCAAGGAAGATGACAAAACCAAAGCAGAAGATGACATCGAAATTGATGGTAATGATAACAGAGGAAAAAATGTCGAGGAGGAAGATGAGGAAGAGGAAATCGATGAAGAAAGAGAGCAGTGGGAGAAAGCTCTTCAAATCCGAGAGAAGCTTCGTGAATATTGTGAATCTCCTCTTTCCTGATGTTTCTCAACATGTTCTGAGACTGCACTGAGCTAACTTATCCTTCGAATCGCAGACGAACATTTGAATCAGCAAATATTCATAAATAACTTGCCACAGCCAAGGGAGCATGATCTAAACTTTCTCCGTAAATGGTTCGAGCGCCCTAAGCTCGGAAACTACCCCCTTTCTAGCCGAGACAAAGACAGTTGGTCAGGGGGATATGAAGAAGATCTTCTGGCGCTCCAAAGAAAGCCAACAAGTGATCCATTCTCTCGGTGGATAATCTGGTCTTGTGTCCCGTATCTACATCGCAAGTTTCTCAAATATTTCAAGAGGCCAGTTTCCAAAGAAGGGGACTTCGAGCTTCCTCAGCCACAAGCTCGGTCGACAAAGCCCGGAAGAGATACCAAGAGTAGAACCAATATTTTTAAGTGGTTCTCTAGAGGTACAGAGAAAGAAGCGACACGAGGAAGTACGATTAACTTGAACCAAAATTTGGTTGCCGGGTCCGGTGATAATGCAACAATATCGCAAGCAGTAATCACATGCTCCACCTTGAATGGAGCTACCGATATGGTATCTAAAGATGTGGATAAAGCATTGAACCAGAAATTCTCGCACGGCGACGACAGTGATCTCGAAGATTTTGATGGCTCACAAATCTACCTCTACGAAGACAAAAGAATCGTGAAAGCCGTCAACGTGTTAAGCATCGTTTTCGCATCAATGATGCCCATCACCAGTATCCTCGTATTATATTTTGTTTCGAATACTCTCAACCGTCTCGCGATAGCTGTTGTATTCGAGGGGTTGTTTGCATTTGCTTTGGCGATGACTACTCGGGCTTCTAGGGGTGAAATATTTGCTGCGACTTCTGCGTAAGTTATTATTTTCCTGTCACATTTTTGTTCACCCATGATCATTCCGTGATGCTGACTGGATAAAGATTTGCTGCTGTTCAAGTCGTGTTCATGACATAAAGTAATGGGTATATTGGGTAGGGTTTCGCTGGCTGTATTGATCACTGAAAGGGAGGAAGAAATGGCAAGATATACCTCAACTTGCTCATATATTCTTGCGCCGGTAAATTTAAGGTACAGTTGCAACTTGGGAGAGAGCTACTTTCCGCATTAATATTCATATCCTCTTCTCAAGAGTACCAAGGAAGAAACTTCGTTTAAAATAGTATGAATATTCCCCGTACTCAACATTACCCCAGTGCTTCTTAGGTTGGCCGAGGTGGGTGTGAGAAAACTCCATTCGTCGTTTGTATGCATGAAATGTCAGACCCTTGATAAATGATTCTAGACGTTTACGATAGGTTACAGGCCGCTCAGCACCAATACACTTGCTTTATATCTTGCGCTAATGCAGGAACTAGCAAATGTACTTGATTAGGTACTTCTGGGCAATTTCACCACTCAAGACTGCTCATCTAATCATAAAGAACAGAAACGAACGCGCCGACCTCAGTGTTACGGGCCGAAATTGGTATTCCGATATCTCCAAATTTACATTAATGTCCCTTTTCAATTCAAACAATAAATCCTCAATGTTCCAATTCGAAATAGATAATCATCCATTAATGTTCTAGCATGATTTGAACAATAAGCATAAAGTTTAATGTTCCAATATGAAATGTACAATTATCAATCATCAATCCAATGTTCTAGTTTGAATTGAATATTCAAAATTAAAACGATCATGTATTGGTTGTGAATTTATGAGATACCGGTATTATATCAGTTTCAGCCACCGTTTTCGCCCCTGTAAAACAAATTACCTTTTTTTAGTGTTCAAAATCGAGTAGAAGTTACAGCCACTACCTAATACCTTACCTTACTCAATGTTCATATTCGAAATGAACACCGAGCCATATATTCTGGCAGAGTCCTGAAAAACAACTTATAGGACTAAAATGCTACTAATCATGAATAGTCGCCATGTTCCCGAGTGAGTATTACTACTACTCATGCTTGGCCCGCATCCACCATACATCTCCACATAGCCCGCCGAGCCCGCCTACGCCGCTCTGTAAACATTAAAAGGTTCCACTGAAATGAATTGAACAGATCTACAAGTATTCAAACATGAATCACCCAAAAATCACCAACAGTCCAAGATCACACTCGACAGCGAGGGATTTCATCGAAGATATCAACAAAAAGCAAAACTGCAAAAATTTGCCTACTACTGGAATCGAACCAATGATCTCAGCATTTCTAACCAGTCAGAGTATGACCGTACAAGTGCTACGCGTTACCACTGCGCCAAGCAGGCCTATTATAGAAGTTATCTTCTAGTAGTGGATGCTGATCAGATGGCTAGGTCGGTATATAAAAGTGACAAAATTGGCCTAAACCTGGGTGCCTCAGTACGCTCCACGAATAACCCCTCAAAGAATCCACTATCAGTCTACTTATTAGTGGCAGTAGTACATAATATCTAACCTAACACTGGTAACAATCTCTTATAGTAATGCTAAGATCGTTTGTTCAAACAAGAGGCTATTGTTGCGATGGAGTTTACTGTATACAAATATATTTACTGAGTAATATTATAGCCCTTTAATGACTACCTCCCCCGCCATTATCACACTGGTAACTTTAATGCTCACAGGCTGATTCTAACATTTTGAACTCTTCAGAATCATACAGTACTAGTGTGCTTTTTTCTAGATAGTACTTACTTTGAGTTCCATATCACGACTCAGTGGCTATAACCTGGGGACAGTCATGGGTTGGCAGGTAAAATAGAAGTTTTTGTTCGATCTTTGCTGGTTTAGGCATAAAAACTGCGGGATCTATCCCCTTTTAAGCGATTGTGTAAACTTTGCAAATTTAAACCCACACCCTTATTTTAAAGGTACCCAAACACTTGGTAGTCTTACCAGGGTATACAGTAGACCATTCAGAGGCACAGAATCCATTATATAATCTGCAATAAAACATTTAATATCTTTTTTATACGTAAATGAAAATGTACTTTGGAGAATTAAGAGCGGTCTATATATGAAATGTTCAAGCGAATAATTACTAGAAATCAAGTCGTTGCGTAATTTTCTACAAGTATATAAGCCCGCCTTCTGTCGATATTAACAGTTTCTTAGACAATGAGGATAATGGCAATGTTGTCGGTGTTTGAGCGTTCATATAGATATGAGAGCTATAGTGGTAGCTCCATGCAAACATATACTCGACCATAAGAGATGTCGCCCGGTTCGTTCTGGCTCAGGTCCATCCGATGATGGTGGTTCGTGGCGATGAAGGATGCAGTTCTCTTGGGGAAGAGCTAAAGTGGTGCGTGTAGTTCAGCCTGCTAGACTCCGGGTTTAACATTGTGCCACATACCTTCAGTTCCACTTTTTTCCTTCTTATTTCCATCTGATTATTGATGTATGTACTGAAAACAATCATCTGTTGGGTTATGTATACGTGCAGCACATGACCCATTGAAGATTGGCACGCACCGTGGTGGTTGTGGCATGTTCTCGAGGCATTTTTGGAATATATCTACTGCCCTTCTGGCTGCCATCGGCTCCGGCATTTAAATTTCATTCACCCAGTATTTAACTTTCCGAGTTTTTGTCAATTGAGCGTAAAGAATATTGGCGGCCCTTAAATTTGAACAGTATTACAAGAGGTTTCTCGATTTGCCATGTCATATTATACCAACGGGAAATAGCCTTGTAATGCATGTCAAAGCCGAAAGGCTGGGATTTCTGCAAACGTAGGATTTTATGCACGTATTAGTTGGTTTATCAAGCCCCTGTTACTGATAGTCAACGACTGAAGCAACGAGACAATGACGACGGCTTGAAAAATTGCATTCGTCACAAATACTCCTCTTATACGCCCCAGGTAACATATCTGATTGAAAGACTGGGTGGCATCTCATTGCAATACCAACATTGGTTCGGTTCGTTGTTTGGTATCTGGTTTCTATGCTAATGTGGCATACTCTTCCCGTTATTGTCCATAAGAGGGATTAAGCGGGAGACATCGTTTGATATTTCGGGCTCGGTAGATCTAGCAGATCTGATGGATATGCATGTGTCCACGTTCGTACTAGATGTCGTATCTAGCTGTATGAAAACAAAAGTAAATAAATGAACTAGTTAAAAACTGAATCAAGTAATGCCTCGAGTTCACTTTCCTTTCTACTCTAGCACTTCATGTAACCATCAACATAAACAGAGCGGCACCGCATGTCTAGCAATGGTTTACTCGAGGAGCATCAGGCATAAAAGGACCCCTCCAAAAACGCGAATAAACGTGATGCCGAGCCACTAATGCGCCGCCATTTCCTCCTCCCTATCGGCTGTAGGATGCAAGGTCAAAAGCAACTGTCGTCCTGCAGCTGCTGAGCTGCAGGTGTTGGGATATTAAATTCTCACGTTAAACCGAGTAAAAAACAAAGGGATCTGGCACGACGGAGCTCTCTAAACTTCAGCATGCATCGAAGTAGCCTTTTCCGGCAAGGGAGGGCGTCCTACGTGCCAAATGGAACTTGTGCCAATTAATTAGCATGCGAACAATAATAGTCAAAAGTACTTGAAGGAATTTGATGACCATACGGGCGAAAATGACAATAAGTGTTGGAAAAGTAACGATAGGGCGATTCGAGATACACTCGAATAGGAAACGACGACTAGAGAGCATTCCTATGATTCTTTGGAAGATATTTTTAATTCTTTATCCTCAATTATCATTACAATTCCGGCACTAAAAAATAACAATCATCACGAATGATATCAGAGGATCTTAAAGCTTCCACGATTTCAGATGAGAATATCCAGGTTATTGTTCTCAATTACATAATTTGAGGGACCTAAAAGATGATATATCGTCCGGTGGCAGAGTAAGAAATAAAAATAATCCATTCAAAAGCTAATAAGTAGCAATTGATCTAATTAATGGATACATTACAAATACTCATAAGATATAATAATACGTACGACATAACTGTACAGTGCTTCCCCTTCTATAAATTCTGCAAAAAGTAAGAAATATATCCACACGAAAAGAATCCAACCTGCGCACCAATCTTCTTCATCCAGTCATGCATTCTTTAAAGCCATACCAAAACAATCCCTCAGAACATCATTCTATCCGCATCTATAAAACCAGCTATAGCGAAATTCAACAGAACACCACCCATCTAAGCATCTGCTTTCTTCTTCGAGAACCATCCCTTTTTCGCAGATTTCCCATCATCATCATCCTCACCCTGACTAGCTCCCTTTGGCACTCTCGCCAACCAATACATACCAATGGCGGCTGCAACATTAAATAGAATATACACCCACAACAAGCCCCAATTCCTCCACGCATCACTATAATGACTACCCACTGATTCCAAAAACACATTCGTACTGCTGATACTACAGAACTGGCAATCCGTGCTCGCGTTAGGATTGTTCAGATATCCGCCTTGGAGGCGGATGTAGGGATCGAGGTATTCAGAACATGTTTGAGAAGGAGGAGGATTGAAATGGAGATATTCGATGGGATCGCATACAACATCCGCGTTGGCGATTCCGGTGGACAGCATTCCTGATACAAGATATGTGAAGGGCGAGAGACGGTACATGAAGATCCAGAATTTTGGGAGAGAGGTAGGGGATGCGAGGACACCACAGAAAATAAGACACATGGAGAACATGAGATTGGCGATATTTCCTGCGGTTTCTGCCGAGTCCATGCCGGCGATGATGAAATCGGTGAATGTGCAAGTGAAAATTAGAAAAGCCCAGACAAAGGCAAACATGAGACCTCCACGTTCGGTGACAGCATTGGTCATCTCGGCATTGCGGTAGAGACCAATGGGGTAGTACCATGTTATGAAGATGATGACGGCCATGAGGGTATTCCAGGGGAGTTCGACGATGATGTTGGAAAGGATGAAGACTTTCCAGGAATAAGTTTTGGAAGGGCGTTCGCGTACTTCGTAGAGGGAACGTTGGGTTACGAAATGGGGCATGATTTGTTGGACTAGATTGCCGAAGACGGTGAGAAGCATGAAGATGGCAAAAAGTTGGTTTTGCATTCCTTGGAGAGAGGTTTTGGTATCCCAGAAAGAAAACCCGATGAAAAGGCCCTATTAATTGTTAATTGCATGATTTTATGTGCTATTTAGTGGAAAGTTGACTTACAACACAAGTACAGAGGAGAGTCTTAGAATAAAGATATGAAGGCGTACGCCAGTACTGTTGAAATACTCGAACAAGGACCACCTGCATTTGCGTTGCGAACCCTACAGCAAATGAATTGAGCGAAGTAGGATCGTGCTCAACTTGCTTATGAGAAAGGGTGCTCTTTAGTTCTGCGAGGTGCGACTTCACTTGCTGGCGTTCTTTAGAATTTTTCCAAGTTTCTGGCCAATCGATGGAGGTGTCGGACCCAGGGGCAGCACCAATGACTATGTTGAAATGTCAGTGATAGTCAAGAATGAGGTGTTCAGTGATTGTACTTACCTTCAAGCATCCATTCAGCAGGATTAGCTAGATCCCCACAAGGAGGAGCACCGTTTCGCTCGAAATATTCAGTCAGAACCTTTGAATGCTCGCCAATTTCGCCGAAATACACAGTCTTTCCACCTCTTGCTAAGAACAATAGACGATCGAATTCTTGGAAAAGAATGGCAGAAGGTTGATGAATTGTGCAAAGAATAGCTTGTCCGTTGTTTGCAAGTTTGCGGAGCAATGCACAGATAGACCATGCAGTTTGGGAGTCTAGACCGGAAGTAGGTTCATCAAGGAAGAGAAGAAGAGCCGGCTTTGCTGCAAGTTCAACTCCAATTGTGAGACGTTTACGTTGTTCGACATTAAGACCTAGGTAAATTTTGAGAATCAATTCCAAGACGCAAGTACACCTGGGAACGAGTGCATACCTTCACCTGGAACACCAACAACAGCATCGGCATATTCTTCCATCTCCAAGACTTTAATGACTTCATCAACGTAGGCAAGCTTTTCAGCATGAGGAATAGCTTCGGGCTGACGAAGGATGGCACTGAATGTCAATGCCTCTCTAACAGTAGATGTAGCCAAATGGAGATCCTGCTGTTGAACGTAACCTGTCTTTCTCTGGAAGCCAATATCTCTTTGTCGGCCATCTACAAGCATTTGTCCGGTGACAACACCCATGGTTACACGCGAGGCAAGCACGTCAAGGAGAGTAGTCTTTCCAGCACCAGAGACACCCTAAGACAATCTGGTTAGAGAACATTGCGTGAAGATTGGAACACAGGAAGTTTACCATCAAAGCTGTCAAAGTCCC